CCAGTTTATCATCATCTTTGGAGACCCCCTAAACCCTAGACCTTAAACCCTAAACCGGTTGGCTCAGGTGCTACCCCGTGACAAGCCAGAGTGGCTTGCTGACATTGAGGCGAGAAGCTGAGGGAGGGTCAAAGATGTCCGAGTCGCAGCCACTGCTGAAAAAGCCCCTGCTGTGCCCTAATATGGCTATAAGTGCAGTTGTAGTAGCTACAAGTACAGTTACAATTGGTTAGTAAGTACCATGAAACCTCCAAATACAAGTTCTTCAGCCCGACAACGCTCAAAGGCCAGAATACTTGGAGAGCTGTGCGGGCTGCACCAAGATGAGTGGCCGAATAGTCGTGGACTTGGCTGCAGCAGATCGAAAGTAAGCAGACCGGGAGTATAGCCGAAAATGCTGTTGGGGCCGTGGGCATTCAAAACGCACCCCAAGTGCAGGCGTGAACATGAACCTGTACGAGGATGAGGCGCGCCCCTGTGAATTTGCAACAATGCCATCATTACAACATGCACGTGATTATGAAACTGCCTCGCCGCGACAGTCACAAAACGTCGGCTGGCACTCTGATGACGAGGCAATCAGAGCGGTCGATGTTGGCTGATGTTAATGATGCTAGAGGGTTCACGATGCTGCTTAAGCCTTGCGTGCCCAGGGTCTCTTTCGCGGCTGCCAGGCAGATTGCTTGGAGCCCAGTCAGAAAGCGCGTTCAGGAACCTTTCTTTCAAGGGAACTGTGGGGTTTAGGGTTTAGGGTGCATGCAGAGGTCGAATCATCTCAGCATCCTGGGGCGCATCTCGAAGGTTCGAGGTTGCCATGAAGGAGACCACACTGAAGACTTGCTGATGTTTAGGGTTTACCCAAACGCTCCAATGTAGCTCCATTTTGGGTTAGCAAAAGGGGGTTCTAGTATACTACCCCAAAAGGTACTACACAGGAGCCTTTGGGTGGGGTTTAGGGTTTAGGGTTCAAAGGGAACTGGAGCAGTGAATATAGGTACTGTGCTACGCTTATGACATTTTCAGCCAGCCACACACTGGGAATCAATGAAGGAATTCTTGCAAAACTTTGCTTTGGAATGTTCGAAAGTCTTCCTGTTCGTTTTTTCATCCTCACAAAATCTACACAAAACCTTCACAAAATCTTCTTCGAAGATGTTTCGTTTATTCGAAGATTTCCGCGACTTTGAATCCCTGTCGAAAATGTTCGAAGATTTCGGCGACTTCTGAAGTTCCTTTCGAAGATTTTGTGATGATTTCTCGACGAAGTCGGAGCCAAAATGTTGGAGAGGATTTGTCAAAGGTGTTGTTGAAAAAATATCTTCGGTTTATTATCATAGCCTAGTCTATGGCTCTCAATGTCTCATCATGCTATGCTGTTGAGTTTTATGGGGGGGGGGGGTAGGGATGTTAAGCTCAATGGGTTCTGATTTCTTGCTTCAAATGCTAAATACAAGGAGCTTGCTGTGTTGCTCCTGCAGTTAGTTACTTTGGGCGTTTATGCAGAACACGGCAGGTTCGCGTTCTGCGTTCCACCAGGATCGAAACCATGTCTCCGGCAAGCCCAGCGTCTTCCACGACACGCTGAAGAGCGTCATTCTCCACTCTGGCCGTAAGCTTAGCCTCTTCTGCCAGGTGTTGTATGAACATTCCCTATAATTAATCAGACCCTAAACCCCCCAAAAGCCACAAGCACAGCTCTGAACTACTCTGAAGGTGATCTTTGCAGCATGGAAGGGCTTTTCCAGAAGCTGGCACCTGAGCATCCGTCCATGGGCGCAGTTGCCACGGTGTGGTAATGGGGCGTGGCTGAGTTGAGGGAGAACGACAAAGCGGCTTGTAGTCGTCCCGAGGCACTTCTCCCATCAAGTGGCCAAGGCACTCCGGAATACATCGCTGTGTAGCAGACCATCCTTGGGAATCCTTTAGCCATGTCGACAGGGGAATTCTGTGGAGAGTCCGAAGTCCTCGGCGTCCACAAGTTCCAGCACGGACTCTGTTCAAGAGCATCTTTGATGCGCTTTGTGTGAGAAATGTGAGGATGGCACGTTCAGGCCCCTACGCTCACATTGCCCCCAAAACTACTCAGCTCCTTTAGCCTCCGAACTGAGGACGTCCAAGTACAAATCGGCTTCCTGGCTGCATGAGGTTTCCGAATTCAGGGGGTGCCTGTTCTTGGGTTTCTATACTAGCACTAATACGGATCATGATGATTAAGGGGACAAGGGGCACCCCTAATTTGGCCTTGCTTGCACTGGCTGAGGTCCTTGACCCTTGCGAACTCAGCCAGCATTTAGGACCCATCAATTGGTGGGAAGGAAAACTCCCAAATTCTTTTTTCCCCGTTGCCCAGATTCCCCAGCAAAAACACGAGTCCTGTAAAGATTCTGAAGTTTAAGGTAAAAGCAGATGAAAGCGAATAATGTGAGAGAGAGAGAGAGCGAAGGGGGACGTGAAATGAGAGAGAGAGAGAGAAAAAAAAAAAAAAAAACAAAAGATAAAAAAAGAGAGACGCTTGAGGGATCATGTTCGCGGAGGGGGGAGTGTTCCTCGGAAGAAAACCATAACTTCTGACGCTCCGTGATCCACCTCGCCTGGCTCCTCCACCAGGGCTAGCTCTTCCGAGGGTTATGGGGGGTGGTTAACGATGCGGCGGATGGAAGGTGGGGGGAGAGTCACCAAATAACAGGCGACATCTGTTGTCCGTTTTACATTGTCGGCCCTGGTGGCTAGCGGCAGGGGGGGGGGGGGGGGGGGGGCGAAGGGGAAAAGAGGGTATTCGTTCAAAGCAGAAGGTACCAAATGAAGGCGGGGTGGGGTACCCGGCTGGGCCGCTTTTTGCGGCCCAGCCACCTACCCGAGGCCTCGGCGGATTAAAGGACATTTTGTGTTTAATGTTTATCCTTTTTCTTTCGTATGAAGATATGAGAGGAGCATTCGTGGGGGTCATTGAGGCAGCTGGATGACGTGCGGGGGGACGGGGGGGGGGCAGGGCGGCCAACAAAGAGCCTTTGCGAAAGCTCGCTCAGCATGCGCCTGTGTCGATGTGTGTCTCTGCTTGAGTTACCTAAGTTGGACTTGCTACGCGGAGTCAGACGGAAGTAGGGGACAGGGCCTTCAAGAATCCAAGATTGTTGCAGGGATGAATGATCTGCGTGCTCTCTTTGAAGCTTTTCCAGATTGGTGCCCCAGCTGGAGGCTTGAAAGACAAACGCCCTGAGTTGGATGGCATGGGGGGGTCGGGTCATCCCTCTCGCTGCTCAACTGGCCCCAACGGACTTGCACCCTTATCGGGAGGTTAAGCGTGCAGGCAGGAGACAAGGAAGAGAGCAGGACCCCTTTGATAGCAATAGAAAGTACTTCAAAAGTATGTCTCTTCGTTTCTCGATTCCTTAAAGTCTGTCTCTGAGTTTGCCGTTTTCAGAGCATGCCTTTTTGGATTAGCTTTTGCTAGGGGGACCCGGCACCCTTGTAACAGCCACCACCCTGCCAAGGAAGCAGCTCGGGCGTTTTTCCTGAAATTCTGGGCTTTGGGTTTTTTGCTAGTTTATCATGGAAAAAAGCAAACTTTGTGGCTGAATTCCAAGCATCAGGGTTGAGTGGAGCAAGCAAGAGAGGTCTTGGGAATCGCCAGGAATGCCGCAGCACAATTCAGCACATGGTCTAAGGCTCGAATCAATCTCACGTGGCGCTACATCGCCGGAGCCTCAGTTTGGGGTTGAGGGTTTAGGCTGATGCCCTCTCGTCATCCTCAACGGAGGTCAGTCATAGATCGTACTGTCGTCGATCCTGGCCGGAGAGCGAGAGTCCAGCACCCCAACCGCGTTAAGAGCGGCTGAGACGAGCTCCAGGCAATTGCTTTTAATTTGCGCCCGTTGGCCATCATTTCCCGCCGCCAGAAGACGCCCGGGGGCAATCGGAGAAAGCTTCATGGTGGTTTTGAGCCAAAAACCGAAAAATCAGTTAGCCTTGGGTTTGCAACATGGTTTGCGGTGGGAAGCACAGTCCCAGCGCTCTGTTCCCTCGTTTCATTAGCAAAAAAGAGCAGATATAGTATGGACAGACGCTGTCTTCTTGGCAGCACCAAATGCCAAACAAGCTTTTGGTGCCTGCAGCATACTTGGAAAGCCAGATTACGCTAGACCCAGAAAGGTGACCATGAATTGAGGAGGACCGGCTAGAGGAAAAAGGTTTTAGAATAGTGGATCTTGGTGGGTTTACATATATGTCTCAGCAATCTCTTCGGCACAGTCGGCTTCTGGTGGCCAGCTGCATTTGAAGAAATGCAGCGTTAACGCGCTGGTAGCTGCGATTGGGCCTGCACATGCCTGTTTCCTGTTCACGATATCGCCTGATCTTCCCTTCGCAGGCGCACTCGTAGCTGACCCTTCCGTGGGATCGCCGCAGTCATCTGTTGTTTAAGAACAGGTGGCATGCTGTGAATGCGGAAGTCTGAAATCCATGCCTGGTCACGGGTTCACAGCTGAGCATGAGCAGTTACAGGATCTCGGTAGGCCCTTGCGACATTTTAAGTTTTCCCTTATTGGGGTTTAAGAGCATCATATTCAGGAACCCTAAACCCTAAACCCTAAACCATATTTTTTTTAGAGGGTTCTAAGGGCCATCCTTGGGATTGTCAGAACCCAGGCTTCTGAACAGGCAAGCTCCTGCTGAAAAGTATCCTGTAACTCTCATGTAAAGTTGGGAGAGACCCTGATCATGCAGCAGAGCTATTCTCCAAACAGGCTTTTCTGAAGCTCGTCGGCTGAGGGGGGTGCTGGGGGGGCCAGGAATGGCACTGGACTGAAGAGATCGCTTCGCAGCATTTGGCTTCCAGGGCGTAAACCAACCGATTCCACCGTCAGGAGTAGCAGGCAGCATTACCCTAGCAAGTCCGAGAGAAAGTGGAGCAGCGGTGCAAGAACGGGAGTAGCACCGGCAGTCCTTTCCCGCAGAGAGAGAGAGAGAGCGAGTGGCTACTGCTTTGTACATTTTGGTGCAGAATGTGGACGAAGGAATCGAAGCCTACCTCTCAGATCCATGTGTTGCATGAATTCACTATTCACTACTCGCTCTGTACACTTGAGTGCCCGGCTTGTCTCGGAGCCCACCAGGTGGGATGGCGTCAAGGTGAATCTTGATCCAGAGCAGCTTTCAAAGCTTCAGGAAGCCCAGATTCAGAACCACTTCGATGGTTTGCCCATAGCAAAAGGTCCTGTTGTCCATGGCGTGAGGACCGCAACAAGCTCTTGGACATCTTAGAGAACCAGGGGCAGCAGATTGTGCCGAGGAGTGCATATGGAGAGGGTGTTGATTTCCGATGCTTCTCTTGCCTGGTGCAAGCAACGCTTTTCGTCGCCATGCTGCGCTAGATGATGAATCCAAGGTGGTGGTGGGCGATACCTCTTCAGGCAAGTCGACGACAATTAACTTTCTGCATCCCGACGGCAAATGGGGTGGCAAATGGCTGCAGCACACAGCGCACAAGTTGGTTCGACCCAAAGAGCCCCATACCCCCTTAATTAAGGAATATGAAAATACCTTACATCATAAGCAGGATCCCTATATATTTTAAGGTATTTTCCTTAATTAAGGGGTATTGGGCTCTCTGGGGACTTGGTCCAAGGTTGGGCTACCCTTTCAACTTTGTCGCGCAGGGCATTGGCACTCGCCGGTGCGACTGAAAGGATGCCACGGGCTTTTGCAGTGCAATGACACCCTGCCAGGCCATGCGTAATGACCCTGACCCCCGACCCTGAGCGCGACAAGGCGGGGTGGGGAAGGGGGGCCATGGAGTCGAGTGAGAACGACTCCACGACCCAGCAGACACATGTGTGCAGGTGCTTTTCCGGACGAAGTTTCAGAAGAACGACTTCACAAAGGAGGAGGACTTCACATCCCTGGCAGATGCAATGGCCCAAGGGCAGCAGCTGACAACCACCATTGTGTGGAGTGTGTGTGGCGTGCGGAAGAAGTCAATATAAACACAAAGTCACAACTGCGAGAGCGCCCCGGGCACTGGGAGATTGGTTCGGCGGCACAGCTGTGTGTTCGCCGTGCGATGCGGTGTCGGTGTCGATTTCTTCTACTTAGACGTAGACGTAGGAACCCCATGTGAAAGCCTTGTGCAAGCACTGGGAAAGCAACCTCCAAGCCGATCAACAAAGGTGGCCAACTTGGTCCGTGCAGTCAACGACCCACGAGGTCATCCTGAATGGCCGCGCCTGACAAGTTGCAATGGGAATATGCGGTCCGTTCTCGAAATTCGGGTCCATCCTTGGTTGCCCTAGCGTGTGCGTTATCACAAGGACCCCAGGACCAAACAGGGGGCCCATAGTTTTCAGAACTGACCGTATATCTAGGGGGGGGAACAGACGAGAGTCACGACTGTGCGGTCTGCGAAGAATGCCAGGTTTGACTGTTTGAACCCGGATCGTGCTTGTACCTCAAAGTTCTTTCGCCAACGCAAAGGAAATTGCGGGTCATGTTGAAGCTTGTGCTGAGGAGCAGTTTCGTGGACAGATGCCCCCGATGGTAAGACCGGACGATGCATTCGACGAGACGCCCGTGTATGCAAGGAGCTGAATGCTGAACTCCGCAGCACAACCCTTGTCGTTCCAGGTGTTTTTAACATTTGCTGCGTTACTGGCGAACAAGGTCCAGCTGTTCCACAAGGACATCGATTGTCCCATGCGGCTCGTGGACGTCCCTGGTGATGGCCTCAGAGAATGCTGATTGCTGGCAGCTGCGGAAGTAAGTGCGAGGGCCGGTTGCCCTGACTGCAAAACCCCCTATTACAGGTCTCAGTCGTGGCAATCGCCTGACAACCAAGATTGCTTTGTCATTCATCAAGCTGCGTGCTGAGATTGTTGCCAGTGCCTGCGTACCCCGAGGTCCCTATAACCTCTAAAAAGTGAACTGGTTACAGGCTAAACCTTTTGGCGTGTTTCCGGCCTCCTAGCTAAGGCCGGACAATGCGGTCATCTTGGTCGTCGGAAAGGAGTCACTTCCTGTGATGCATGCAGGTACTGTAGGTGGCTAAGATGAGTGAGGATACGCAATGGTATGCATAGATGATGGGCCGCCTCAACTTCACACTCTGAACACTCCAAACTTTCGTCCTTTGCATCTTGCCGGGTTTCCCTCTCCAGGACCATCCGAACAACGGTGGCTTCCCTCATCTGGCCGCGGCCATGAGGCGCGGGAGCCAGGGCTTCGACTCGGGACTTTCGTGGGGTTCTTGTCGGAGTGAAGCGGGTGTACTGTGCGACTGAAGCTGCCTCAGATTGATATCAAGAACTGCGAGTCCGGACCGGTCCTTCTTTTGTTGTGTTGATTTTTGTGTTGCAGGGAGTGCTCTCGCACCATTGTCGTTCAGAACTTTGCCAACACGAAGATCCAAGACAACCAGGCGCAACATACCTACCCGTGCCTCATAGCATGACCATGAGCAAGCCAAGCGTTGCGTTTGCGATTTAGAAGCATCTCGAAGCTCAAAACCACACCTCAGGTGACAGAGAACTTCAATGTCATCTATGACAAGATGAGCGGGCGCACTGCTTTGCGCCCGGACATTGGGTTCTTGAAGTCAGTAGCATGCAATCAGGAAGAACTCCTGTAGCTAAGCTATCTTTCCCGACGCTCGTGAATATCCTAAGCGGTTCCTCTTTGCATTGGTTTTCCGGTTTCGGTTCTCGGGTTTGGGGCCTCCTCATGAACCCCTCTTCAAGCATGAAGCTCAACTTGAAGGGTGACCCCAAGGGGGGGGGGGGGGGGGGGGGGGGGGGGGGGGGGGGGGCGGGGGGGGGGGTGACGGGAGGCGGGTGCGGGGGGGGGGGTGCGAGGGGGTTGTGTTGGCATGAGGTTCTGATTCTTAACTCTTAGCAGTCAAGCGGAGTTTACATGGAAGAGTTCTATGTGTCATACGGCTAGAATGATCCTCAGCGCAATCGCCGTTCTTAGAACCCTAAGCCCGAAACCCTCAACCCAGCATCAACCATCTCTAAGGATTTGGTGCTTTACTGCATTGACTACGGCTTGCCCTACGAGCCGGGACTTCCCTTGTGGCAAGAAGGTCCCTGCTTGCCAGCCCCGAACTCCGTTTTAGAATTTTGTAAGGTAGAGCTTGGAGGGTTCAGGCCGGGGGTTCAGCAGCTTAGTAGGAGATGGCTGCATTTAGGGTTTAGAGTTTAGGGTTTAGGGTATTCTCTACATGTGCTCGCATGAAGTGCCCAAATTCCGGGCTCAGAAACCGCCTGTGTTTGACACCCATTGATAGATCTGCGGCGGAGTCCTGGATGCCCATCCTGCACATCCTTTCTTCTTGATGTCCTCAGCTTGATTTTTGAAGACAAGGGGAATGCTAGACGGCCACGATGTTAAACCCCAAGCCCTAATCCCCAAACCCTAAATCCTCAACCCTAGCCAGGCTACGACCAGCAGGATTGGCACAAGATCAACAAGGAGCAAGGTTTGCAGGCAGACGAGACCTCAGACAAGCTTGGGGATGGTAGGATTGGAACCTCAGCTAACCAGTTCTTAGTAGGGCATCTGGGAATTAGGTACCCTATGCACTCCCAGAATGTAAGGTACCTGACTCCTAGTTCTCTACTAAGAACTCGAAAGAAGCTAATTTCGGGCCACAACATGGCACAAGATTTACTCGTCCACAAGACACTGGGACATCCCTTGGACAGAGCCCTGAGGTGCTTGGCCCTTAGCATGATTCCCCATGACCCTAAAGCCGTAATGGTGTGTGGCTGGTTTGCTGCAATCCCAGGGTTGGCATGTCCAGATTCTTGCCGTCCAGGTCCGGAGAGCCATGGTGCAACACACAGAGATGCGAGAGAGAGCCTCAGCGCGTTGCATCCGAAGCATTGATGGATGTGAGATGTGAGGCCAGACCCAGGCAAGCCCAAACCATTGATAACTGAGGCAAAGCAGCTGCAAGAGCGGTTCAAGGACCGAAGCCTTGAACCCTAAACCATAAACCCTAAACCCTAAACCCTAAACCCTAACCCCTAACCCCTAAACCCTAAACCCTAAACCCTAAACCCAAACCTACTTTAGAGGCCTTCTGTATCGCCGTTCTACAGATGCAGCTTTGTTTGGAACGTTCCGGCGGTGGAAGTTGGCAGGACAGCAAGGTGTTCTCCAACGTGATTGTGCCAGGAATCGACCTGGCCCTTGCCTTAGGAGTTGAGGTTATCAGCATTAATTATTGCCCTCATAGAGTTTGGGGCCCCTAGAGTGCTTATGCAGTTTTCGTTTCGTCGGGCTTTGGGCTCAGGGAGTATGAAGTTTACAGGGGTTAGAGAGATTAGGGTTTGCAACAGCGCAAGCTTTCGGGCTGAATCTGGTAATCAGCGACTTGCCCATGTCGTTGATGAGGTACGCAAGAAGCTCAACGAATTCCAGTGCTGGTCTGAGATGCTCGCAATGTGAGCTGGTGCACAAGAAGTGCCTGCTTCGATCCGTTTGTGCATGGCAGGTTCCACGACATTGATGGGCACATTGGCAGATTGCAAGAAGAGCCGCGCTCCCAGAATTTAAGCTTGGCTACGTACACATCTGCCCGACCTTGATTGCTAGCTCTGCTCGGCGCATCTTATCGCCACTCCGCTGCAGGCTGAGACGTCAGATTGCCAAGCGCCAGGGAGAACTGGAACGTGTCGGCTTCTGAGCAGTCCTTGCGCTGAAGTCGACTGTGAAGGCGATCCCTGGTGGAACGATGTACGACTGTTGGCACATGTACTCATCCTTTTTCATCTTTCTCCCCAACTCTTGAACCCTATACCCCGAAAACCCTAAACCCTGAAAGTACTTGAGTGGACTCCCTGTTGCCAAGGCCCAAGCTCGCGTCAAGCAGCTGCAGTTCCCGCCAGAGTCATGGGCTCAGTTTCTGTTTTTTTTTTGGGTGGCAGGGCGGTCTAGTAAATATGATGCAGTAGTACATGAGTACATCAAAGGGCTGTGTACTACATGCATATACTGTTATGCAAATCTGGTTGTCATTACTACAGTATTCTATGTGTACTTTTTTTTATGCATTGCATTCTTGTCTTTTCATTCATGCTCTAGGATAGCCTTATAAATGTGACATTCGACAGGCAGCCCCAGCTGCCCCCTCCACAAACTGTTCAGTCAGGTGGGATAACATGCTGGCATCCTTTGCCGCGACCGTCCGAAAGTACTTGGACGCAACGCACAACACCGTGGCAGCGCTGACATGCTTTCAGAAAGGTTGAAGCTGTTGACTGTTTAGGGTTTAGGGTTTAGGGTTTAGGGTTTAGGGTCTTGATGCTTTGCCTGTGGGCGGCTAGCACACTCCCGCCCGAAACTATTTAGGTCCTAGGTTGCATCGACTTGGATACGGAAGCGCCAGGAGATATATGATGCCGCGTCCGGGACTTGGTGGTTGGCAAGGCCAAGTCATGCCTGGCCTGTGCCGCAGAGCACTTCATGGTAGAGCCAGAGCAAGCAAGCTCAAAGTCAGATAGGTCACGTGAGTCGTTTAGCTGTTCCTGGATACCAAGGACGGGCCTCATGAAGGAGGATGATTCCTTGCTGTGGACATCAGAAGAGGAAGCACGCAGGGTCGCCAAAGGGGCGCTCGACAGCCCGGTGCCCAGCCAGCGCGTCATGTGAGAGGCCAGAAGGTAATTCTCAACTTTGCCAGGTGGTGACAAGCACACGGATGAAGATGGGCTTGCTTGGCCAGCTGGCAGCAAGTTTTCCGAGCGAGATGTTGCTGTTACATGCTGTAGCTTGTACTGGGCAACGTGAATGAAGCCACTGGGTCCAGCACTTGCCACTTTGAGCCACCTTTCTCATGAGCTGTAAAGATGAGGAGCGGCGGTAGGAGAAGATTTGGCAGATTTGGACTGTGCATGCTGTGTCGGCATGTGGAGAGAAATTCCCGTAGTCGTTGAGGTTTGCTGGAGAGGTCGACAGGAAAGTGGTGGCTTTGCTTACCGAGTACTGCGGCTTCGAGGCAAGAATGCACGGGTTGTTCGATGAACTGAATGACAACGTTCTTGAAATTGGCCGTGCCCCACTGTGCGGCTGCATTCATCTGCAGTGCCCTGTCTCAGTCAGAGTTTCGACTTGCCTGCATCCGGAGCTGGCAGCGGCTTGTGGACGAGCGCTTGCCTGAGCACGATCTCTTTGAAGCGTACTAGACGGTTAGTGACAGAAATGGTCTGGAAAGCAACCCTCCTGCGATCATGCAGACTTGTCTGCGGATAAGCGTAAACGCATACCATTCAGTCAAGAAAATGTTCTTATCCGTCGCTACATCTGACAATTCGAGCGCCCGTGCTTTCATACTTGCTAAGCAGGTGTTTTTCCCACCACGCCACGCCAGAGAGAGACCACATCCGAGGTTCACTGGCATGCTGGCATTTGCACCGATGCCATGCGTTCCAGCAAGCTTACACGACATGGCCAAAATGCGCGTCGGCACTGGTCAGCCAGAGCCCTAGTTGTTCACCCATAACGCCTGCGACATTGGGTTCTACCGCAGTTCATCTAGCTACCTTGCACTCAAGCCTGGACGACTTTTGCGCGACTTCCTCGGAAGGGTTTCGGACAGTGCTCCACCAGGCGCAGGTCCCCTACCACCCAACCCCACCCATCACCCACTCACCCCTGCCCCCCCCCCGCCACACGATACAGTAGATGGAGAACTCTCGGGTTTCGGCCACAACACTTCAGGGAAGAAGAGTAAGAAGAGACCGAGAGCGCGAGATACCGTCTCACAAACGACTCCGGGTGCGCCTCTCGGGCCTTCCCAGGGGGTCACTGGTGTTGCTGGATGTTTCTTGTAGTTATTTTCACGGCACCCTGCTTTAGACGAGACTGTACGTAAACTGCCCAATATGGGTGTGCCTGAGGGCGCCCTGGCTCATCCTCAAATCGGAAGAATTCGGGGGAAGGAGCAAAAGAGAGCGTTCGGCTCGCGCGGGTACTTAAGAAGTCGGCGGTCGCAACACACCCGGTCCCGTGAAACGTTGATGGCGCAAACGTACGTCCGCACTGCTGGGCTGTGCGGAGGGAGGGTTATAAGCCCTCTCCTCCATAGCCGCTAGAGCCACTAAACAGCACGGAGAGCGACGAGTCAGACAATATGTATAATATTAAGTATATACATACGTAAATACAGAGTATCCTATAGAGAAAGTATTAACTGTAAATGTAAATGAGAATGTGTACATATATATATATATATACAAAGAGAGAGAGAGAGAGAGCACCGTCGCGCTCCAAAAGGCTGGCAAGTTGCGCAAGTTGTGCTGCTTGGAACTTTCCGACATGTTAACAGAGTTCGAGTCGCGGGGCTTCAGAGCCAAGCGTTCGAAACTCCTATCTTTTCACAGAGGATGACTCGGTGTGTCTTATAAGGTCCGGCCAACTGAACTTCACAGAGGAGACGGTCAAGGTCGTGGTCAGCCTGGGTGAGGATTCCAAGCATCGAGGTCTTGTCCGGCCTCTCCTGGAGCAGTTGGAGCGGAGAATGAGACTTCTGGTCGAGCGCGATTTCCGAAATTCCGTCGCCTGCCTGGAGGTGCGATGTGTCGAGGAGTTGGAGAGGTTCTTCGAACTGGTACAGGAGGACTTCGACGATGCCGCATCAGACGGAGAGCCGGAGCCGCCAGCCCCAAGGACCCCCGTGCTGCCGACCATGACTCCCCGTGAAGTGAGGAGCGACAGCAAATCAAGCAAGCGGGCAGCTCGCAAGTCAGAGATGACTAAACTGATTCTGTCAGGCGTTCTCAAGGCTTTGCTCAGCCATGCAGATGAAGTCATCTCGGGAGTCTTGCAGGGGTCAATTGAGTGCGACGACCACAATGAGCCAGTCATCGATCCCGTGACGCAGCGCCCGCGGCTACGTGAGAGGTCTGGCATCATGGTCCGCGTGGATGAGACTCTAGCCGGCAAGCCATCAAGGGGAATGTCGTACAGTCTTATAAGATGTCTTACAGCTAGCAAATGACATGGTCCTCCGCGTCCACGTTGATGCATGTCGATGTCAGGCATGCATATCAACAGCATACAGCATGCATACTTCTAATGAAGCCTTCACCGAAGTCTGATCATGACCCGGGGTAGTCTCCGACTGAGACATGCAACTAAGACACGCAAGCATGAAAGGAACACGACATCTCCTGGGCCTTTGCATTGGATGCTCCCGTTCAAGTTCAACAACAGCGGGAATCTGCCTCAGACCTTTGTTGCTACACGACGCAAGGTCTGCCCATGCTTGCTCTATTTGCCCTATCAGAATGTGGTTTGAGGCAGGTGAGCCTGCGCAAGCTGCTCTTCAACGAGCGGAGGCTGCTCAAGGGCAGCAACCAAGGCAGGGCCTCCGCTTGAGGGGTCACAGCAATGCCTTGCGATGGTGTAAGTGAGGCCTGGGCTGGCATGCCAAAATCAAGAGGAAGCAGAAAGGCCTGCCTTCAGTACTTGCAAGCCTGCCTTTGAGAGGAGTCCCCACTGGGCTTGGCCTACCGTGTGTTGTATTGGTACAGAATTAACGATGATCCTATTATTACTATCTTGTTATGCTGTTATATTCGTAAATTCCTGTATACGTATATTCCTATCTTCTTGTATTTTCGTGCGACGCAGGCTTTCTGAAGTCTATCGGCTCTGGCCTGTCCACGTGCTGCGAGAAGCAAGACGACGATGATGCTGGTCGTACGACCCCCATTTACAGCCCAAGCTCTGGCAGCCATCGTTCGTATGCACTCATACTTGTAAGTTTAGTTGCAGATGTACCTGGGAGTTGTTCTAAGACCTCTACGCAAATTAAATAGGGGCGGGCCTGCATGATGGAACCGTGCTTTTCAGGGTTTGTTGTCCGGAAGGTGAGGGCAGCTTTAGTGGCCCCTGACCCGTCATGGACGTGGTGTTAACCTGAACCAGCACCCCCAGTGCACGGTAGCCACAAAGAAGTGTGCCCAGCTCATAGTCATTGAGTTTCGCACAGTCCCACCTGACTTCGGAAGCCTTACTACCCTCAACCCCCAACCCTCAACTCTCAACCCTCAGCCCTCAACCCTCAACCCTCAGCCCTCAGCCCTCAACCCTCAACGCTGCTTGCTTAGGCCCGGAGATCGGCTGGAGCCGACGGTTGATCGAAGAGATCGGCCTGCACTTCGAGGCAGCTCGAAGATTTCGGGCAGCTGCCCAGTGGGCAATTTTTAAAGATGAGCATATAAAAACAAACTATGACATGAATATAAGAATATACAATCTACGAATACGAAAATCTAGTGCTAGGAGCAGGATCATTGTAGGAGCAGGATCACTGGCTATGTGCAGCTCCTGTTAAGTGCATTGCAGGATGGCACCCCCACGATCAACTGCAGCAACGCAGTGAACTTGCGAATATACCGCTTGTGCACAGAGGACCTCGCGGACTGAAGACGTTGGGCATGCTGATCCGTTGGCGTTTCGTTGCATAGTTTTGACACCGCGAGGACTACGAAGTTCCGATGAGCAGCTGACCCATCCTTCACTCCAAAAAGGACTTCCGGACCTTGAGCCAAACAGAATGCTGCTGAAGCCCAGGCCCCAATGCCCCTCCTCACCTTTACGATGTTGAGGTGCGATTCTCAGATATCTCAGATCCGCGCAGCTTTGCATAGCCTGCAGATTCACATCTGCAGCATATTCTGATCTGGTCTTAGTAGAGTAGGTAACCTTAGCCTTTTTGGATCTTTTGGTGCAATATCACCCCTGATAATCCTAAAGGTTAACCTTTAGTTCCCCCAGTTTACTGGACAACTAAGTGGTTTCACCCGCTTTCCGGGTCCCATGATTGAGAAGCGGCTGGTGGGTGCCTGAGGTTCTGAAGCTTCTCAAGGCCCTGCAGTTTGAAATGGCTGCTGCCTGGGCATCGATGTGGAAAGGCATGCTCCAGGAGACTTCTGGTTTAGGGTTTAGGGTTTAGGGTTTAGGGGAGTTTGGATGAGTTTAGACGATTTGAATGCCAGACTCGGTGCAGGAGCTCACGGACAAAGACAAAGTTCGGGAGTTTGTTGCCGACAGGATGCAGCATGCGACCCAGACGTGAAGACATGACAGGGCAAAGTCGGATGCGGCCGTTTCTTGTTCGCAACGCGCTACACGCATCTTTCTTACGTTGCTCTGAGTCCCAAGGGGCAGAGCACCGACATGAGGGTCAGGGTTTGGGGATGTTTGGGCTTCTTGGCTTCGGGAAAGAGGAGAAATACGGGTCTTTGGGGTGTCTTCCTGCCTCAGGAACGAGCCAGTTGCAGACTACGCTCTCAAGCTGCTTGGCAAAACTCTTGAGTTGGTGTGTGCAGGTCTTTGTGTTTGGAAAGTTCCGAACAGACTCCTCCCCCTAAACCCAAAACCCTAACCCTAAACCCTAAACCCACCAAGACGTCTTTGCGCGAGCGAGGCTTGATTGGACCGCAGAACGGCAGCAATCCGGAAGGCTACCGACGTGCTTGGTTGAGGTTTGTTCGCTCTTGCGTCGGCGCGGAAAGAGGTTTCGCTGTGAATTCATGCTCTGCTCTTCTGTTTGGATTTAGGGGGTTTTGGGGTTTAGGGGGTTTTGGGGCTTAGGGGGTAGGGTTACGGGTAGAAGCTTCTCGGCTCCAACTTTGGATGGGCCAGCCGCAGGATCGAGCGCGACGCAACTTTGGAAGCCGTGGACGCAGCACTCCGGCGGAGTTGTGTTTCTTTTGCAGGGATTCCGATAGGGTTTAATGGGGCTTATGGGCTTGTAGGGTTTACAGGGCTTATTGGGCTTATTGAGCTTATATAGCTTATAGGGCTTATGGTAAGGGCTTAGGGTTTAGGTTGGTTGATAAGGGACAAAGCCATCACGCTCGAGGCAGTTCTTATCTATGGAGCCTCGGGATCCTGGGATCACTCGTTGGATGTCAGAATCTTGTCCCTGTAGGTTGCATGATCCTAACCGAATCTATGGTCTTCTCCCCTGTTGGGCTTTATGAGTAAGTTCAACTACTACTCGACTGCACATCCGCCATTACCTTCTGCCACGTTTGCACCGCTTGCTCACCAGCCAAATCGGATACTCATCCCCTTCCTTGAGATGTGTTAAAGCACATAGCGTCGGGACTCGTTTTTTGCAGAAAGTGAGTCAGCTAGTTTACGTCTGTAGACTTTTGCTCGCATTTGCTTCGCCCTTTCTTAGGCTGTTGCAACTGGTAGTTGGACAGTTTGCCGTCGCATTCCCTCCTGTGCCTCCATTACCCCGGCAGGTGTGTGGATGGCTTAGCGGATCCCGCGCTTTGCCAAACGACATGCTGACCACTGAGGTTCTCATGCACTTGCACTCTTGAGAGTAGCCAGTTTTGATTTATCTTCTAGCCCTCGAAAGCGTCAAGGGCAAGGGAATGGCGCTGAAAACGAGGCGTCGCATGAGTGTTGGCATGGCAGGAAGAGATCAAGAAAGCTGGCGAGGAGGCCAGATGGTGCAGCCCCCAAGCTGCGTGCGAGTTTGCGGCAGGCTTGCCAGCCTTAGGCTGTTCATGGAGGTTTTCCGTAACCCTCAACCCTAAACCCTTAATATTTTTGACCAAGGCCGGATCATCAAGGCTACGTTGAAGTTCTGAACCAAGTCGATATCAAGCAGGCCAGCGCGCAGGGTCGGCCGAAAGGGCTATATCCCTGTTCTACTGGGGCCCCTTTATTGAGCGCTTTCATTGCAAGAGCCGCCTGGGCTCGGGTGGTGGGAGCCACTCCAACAGGACCTCCCACCAGAGTGCCAAATGCCTGATGAAAGTTCTGCGCAAATGGCCTCCTAGGCGATTTTGGGGTTCCCAAGAGACTCGGCTTGGGGGTCTCCCAGAAGGTCCGAATAAATGTCCCGGGTTCAGGGTTTAGGGTTTAGGAGCGCCAGGGTTGATTTTTCTTGGTGGGTTGTGGGAGGTGAAGGGAAACCACCTGTGCATGTCTTGTTGGCCCCAACCCTCGTGGGAGGCTGGCCCCCCAACGGCATCGGATTGCAGCCCCCAAAGCGAAACTGGCAGCTCTGGCATTGTGCAGACACTTGTCACCAAAAGCCTGAGGCGAAACACTGCAGAGAATTGCTCAATGTGGGGGTCTACAATCTACAAGGGACCCCGAATATAGATCCCCAAATAGTAGGATACCTTTTTCAGAAGGAGCCCAATAAGGTACCCCTAGAATCGTAAACCCCCATATGTGCGGAAGGTGAAGACGGCTTTCATGGCAAACAAAAACACGAAGCTGGCCGGACAGCCGTTTTTGCCCCAGTTGCCGAGAGCCATACCGCCATTCCAATCGAAATTTTGCTCGTTGGCCGGTTTGAAGGTCTTGGCTGCGGTTGTGCGACGAGTTTGTGTTTGTGATTCTCCAGCTGAACATGAAAAGAGCAGCAGCCCAAGCCCGCGCTGCTGATGTGGGCACGGGTGGCTCCGCGGTCTGTTCTTTTATTGCTCCGTTATTTTCCTTCGATTTCTCTTCCGAGTGCTCGCGTGAGGTTTCTAACGAGGAGCTGAGCATGGCAAAAGCATCAGCAGGCATGATGTCGGCAGCCTGGGCCACAGCCACCTTTGCACCTGAGCATTCTCGTGATGGATACTCGGTGCCTGTGGCTGCCTTTCCGTTACCTCATCCCCTCAAGGCTGGCCAGCAAGAGATGATTGCCAAGCTTGCGCTGCATCGCATCTGGCTCATCGGTGACGACTTTGCGTCATGCTGACACGGCTGCCAGTTCTCGGCTTAAGGTATGTCTCAGCTGAATATGCACAGCCAGAAGGCTGGTCTGCAATCTGCAGCCTGCTGAGACTCCGCAGCTCGAATCCAAACGAGAGGTCTTCATGAAGCGCTTCAACTTCCTCTGGACCCGAGACACCTCCACCGCGCTGACAGCCATGGAAGGCCAAGACGCTTGATGGGCTGAGGGGCGCCATACCACTCGTCATAAGCAAATTCCTACGGTAGACTCCCGACAGTTGCTCGAGAGGAGTGGCACAAAGCCTTCGAAATGTCACGAAGAGCGGCATGAACGGAGCAGAGACCTTGCTGCAAGAATCTTCGTTTCGAGGCTGAGTGAGGCATTGCCGCATCAGATCGGTTTCCAAACTACTGTTACTTCGCAAAGACTCCGAGGACTGGCTGGAGGAGCAGCTCCATTTGTACAAGGCCTCTGGGTGGGAAAGACTCCGTCGAGTGATAGTATGAGCGATAGTTATAGTAGAACGAGTAGAATTGCGTTACCCAAGCTCCGGCTGGCTGCAGGACAACGTGATCATGGGGACGTTGAAGGCATTGCAGGCCAGAGCTTCGGCATGTTCAGAATACAACTCTGATACTTGTCGACATTGCGTGTTTGCTGCTTTGGGTAAGCCTGCTGCTGAACAGGACAAGTTTGATGGCTTGTTCCCTGTCGATTTTGCCATCCTGCCGCGTCCCCGATAAAAACACACGTGATAGTGAAGTCTGGACGAGTCAGAGACCCGAGTCAGACAGGTGTCAGAGGTCCTTGGACAAACCTGTGATCCACGAGCGGTATACGGCTGATCTGCACCTCACATATCATCAAATCCTCTTTTTTTTTGGAGCCTGCTTCAGTCTCCCTCCTCCATTCACCGGAAGGTCTGGAGTCAACGAACAACATGAACAAACAGTCACATCCAAACTGAGTCAGAGGTTTAGGTTCACCGCTACGAATTTGTGGGCACCCCCATCTCGGCTCAGGAACGGGAGATTTCCCCTGAACGCACAGAAGCTGCGGCGGCAGCACTTCGAGTTGGCACCTGAGCGATCACATCTAGAAGCTGTTTACTTCTACTTCTACTTCTACTACTGCTTCTTCTACTACTACTACTACTACTACTACTACTACTACTACTACTACTACTACTACTACTACTACTGCTACTGCTACTGCTACTGCTACTGCTACTGCTGCTGCTGCTGCTACTACTACTACTACTACTACTACTACTACTACTACTACTACTACTACTACTACTACTACTACTACTACTACTACTACTACTACTACTACTACTACTACTACTACTACTACTACTACTACTACTACTACTAATACTACTACTACTACTACTACTACTACTACTACTACTACTACTACTACTACTACTACTACTACTACTACTACTACTACTACTACTACTACTCCTACTGCTACTCCTACAACTACTGCTACCGCTGCCGCTACTGCTACTGCTACTGCTACTGCTACTACCACTGCTGCTACCACTGCTGCTACACACTAACACGATTACCAACACTAACACCAACACCAACACTAGCATTAGCGCTAACACCATCACGAACACTAACACTAACACCACTACTTGATACTTTTCAAGAACCAATATAAAACGAGTATTTGCATTCAATTTCATATCCATTGCTAACCTAGTACAAATGCCAATGCCATCAGTAATGCCGATGCCACTGAAGTACTTATGCCGATGCTAGCTAGTATCCTGCCACTGCTATTGCTATTCTTATTGTGCATATTATACAATTCGTATTTGCATTAGCACTGGCACGAGTACTCGTATTATTACATATTACTTATACCTAGTTGTACTGCGACTACTACTGGTGACTACGACTACTACGACTGCTACTGCTGCTACTGCTGCTGCTACTGCTGCTACTGCTGCTGCTACTGAAGCTGAACATAGAGTAATGATGAGAATGATGACGACCGGTGCTTAGTACTCACTAGGGGCAGGTTTCTATCGCTCCTGCGACACATAGAACGATGGAGCTTGTTGGGAGCTGGCACCTAAGTAGGAGCAGTCTCTGCGGAAGCAAGTGCACAGGCTTCAAGACGATGGACGAACTGTTCGACAGCGCGATGCTTACCAGGACGTAGATTTCTGGGGCACGGGCTCCGAAACTATGGTGACGGGCGGAAAGTGATGAAAGGTGGTATGACACGGTTTCCTCAAGTCTCGGCCAGGAGATCAAGGACATGTGGCAGACGAACCGGTATTCACAAATGCAGAATGTTGTTGACCCCTTGCCTTGTTTAACACGTCCCATGTGACCTTGGTACCTTCGATGCGTCTCCATGTTTGAGGCGAGTGGTGTCTCTGTGTGTGTGTGTGTTCTGAACCAGCTATTGTTCTTCAACTCTACAGGGTCTTCTTGCATTAAGCGCTGAAGCACGGTCTGAGTGGAGTTGAGTTGGTAAGCCTCTTCCACGAATTGCCAGGTGTCCCCTTCAGACGGCAAGTCTGCTGGGACCATACAGTCCCAGGCTTAAAAAGGTGTTTACCACGGTTTATGTCCACAGACGGCTCAGCTTCCGTTGCTTGCTTGCAAGGCTAAGCGTGGACGGGACGATCTCAGCCTATGAGAACCTTCAGGCAAGCCTAAATAGCTAGAGTCTGAGGCTACAAACCTTCGCCCTAAAAGCAAAAGCCGATTCAGACTCTGGTAGCTTGGCACATCCCTTCGAAGCAGGAGCAGCGCGAGCGGGTTGAGCAGATCTTCAACTTGCCATGTAACTTGGCCCCGTACGGCTCTGCACAGTTTCGGTTTAAGGCATTTATGGTCCTTAATTGCAGGGTTGATGGGAGCTTTGCACAAAAGAGGCGGCCGTTGGGAATCGAATTGTGCGTCCAAGGCATCTATCCCCCCGCAGAAAACTACGCTGGCGGCGCCTTCCAGGACACCGAAGGGATTCCAAGCATCCGTGATGGGCCATGATGGGAACTTCAGGGTGCCAAGGGCCACTCCTGAAGCAGGAGCTATGCCTCAAGTTCTTCAAGGGTATCCATGTGGATGCCATCCACCACACCAGACCCAGACTGAAGGCTGGGAGGGTAGAAGAGTTACACAGTTTAGAGTTTAAGGTCTGGGCCCAGGGTTTTGCTGTGACGCAATTTATTTCTCATGAGCCTTATCAAGTCCGCTGTTAAAAAAAAAAAGAAAGTTCAGGCGATGATGGCAAGGCTCTACCAGGAGGAGCACCTCAGAAGAGCCCCGGCCCCGAGAAAGCTGCGCCACAGCGTGGTCACACACCGCGGAAACGTGGTGGAGCTTTGGTGTTGACACCCTAAACCCTAAAGGCCCTAAGCCCTAGACCCTAAACCCTAAACCCCCTAAACCCTAAACCCATTTCCACAACGAAGTGCTGCTTGCTTGCATGTCGCCCTCCAGAGGCTCTGCAAGAGAGCCCTGCCCTGGACTACTTGAAGGACTCGGCTGTCTCATGCTCCTCAGAGAGACATGCTTTGGCGCGTACATCTCCTTCGCATCTCTCTTCGCTTCTTCAACTCCTGCAAGGACTTCGGGGGCCACATCCTCGAGAGGCAAAAGCTAAGGCACTGATCACCGGAAGTGAGTTTATCGAGTCTTGTCCTTGCTGGCGAAGATGTGTGCTGACCTTGCCATCTTGCCATCAGGATGGAAAGCCTCAGGCCAGGTGCGTCATGCTCAGCGGCGGAAGAGCAGAAGAGTACCCGCTCATCAGTGCGAAGCGCGCAGGTGTAAATTATCGGCAATGCAGCAGACACTGAGGGAAACGGATCGTTCCCAGCGTAATATGGATCCATACTAAGGGCAAGGCCTCCCTTAGCACGATGTAACTTGAAGTGCGTGTAGCACAGACAAGGATTTCACTGCCCATGGCGAGATTCCCAGTGTCACCGAGAGCATGGCAAAGCGATGCGAGGCGGTGTACAATTATTCAATGGCTTTATAATAAGAAGTGCCCGGATATCACTTTTTCCCGGTTGAGCAAAGGGGCTCAACCCAGACCAGAAGCTGTTGGGAGTTGGGATGAAGTTTTTCTCTTTTTTCCATTCATTCAGAATTGTGAATTTCAGGCAAAAGTTAAAGGACTCCAACTCCCACGCAGGATCCGAGACCAAAGTTTGTCGTCATATCCAACTGCTTAGAGCAAGTGCCAAGGAGCACTACCCCAGTTGCACCTTAGTGTGCGGCTTGGTAGAACGGAAGCCCTGTGCACACTGGTCACGCATGATAACGCGCAGTTTTCAAAACTCAGCAACGCCAATACGAGTGCAATGCTCGTCAATGCTCGTGAAGCCTTTTCAGCAAGTACTCCCAAGTACTTCTTCGGGCCGTGCACAGCGCCGCTTGCAATTGGGCAGCTGGGTGGATCGTGGACATCGCCGGAAGTGGGGGTACAGGCCATCATCAAGTTAGATCGAAAAGAATCGGAAAGATGCACATGGCAGCGCGTGACGTGGCCACTAAACCCCTGCGCCCAAGCCTCTCTTTGCCGCAGCCACCATGTGAACACCCCCACTGTTTGCTTTAAGCAAGTTCGCACTTCTGAGGTTGCGCGGCGCTCTCTGCTCAAGGAACTGCGACAGTCAAGTGCTAGCTGCTAACCTCAAAGCAGCTGCATCTCAATAATGAGGCCGAGCCATGCACCAGGTCATTACGACAGCAAGACATAGCAAGACCACTTCAAACTTCTTGCCCCAAAGCTCAGCCAGGGTTCCTTGCCGAATGAACAGGGCACACAAACATGCAGGGTTAGAAGCCTGATCACGACGCTTTTGCATTTCTTCACTTCAGAAGACAGCATGCACATCAACGCACACCTATAGACCCCAGACACAGAGGCTTCTGTAGAAAGAGAGAGTGAGAGAAAGCACCGGCACAATCGGAAAGAGCCTTCCATTTGGACATGCAGCTTGGGCGGCATTATAGATCATGCCCAATACAACCTGACGCGACATCATGCCATTGCATGACGAGGCTTTGTCATGGAGCTAGACCGAAAGGATTGGCCTTTGTTTCCCCAGTCAGGCGTGAGGGTGCACAGTGTTTTTTTGTCTCGTGTCTGCGGTAGTTTGCCAGGTTATGACACCCAGGGGGCCAAACCGAAGCCATCCAAGGCACAACTGCACAAAGCCAATTCAGGGAGGGTTAGGAGCATGTTTGCTATGTTCCGTTTGGGCAACGCCAATGTGTTTGATCATGTTTCTGGTCATCTCTTCTGAACGCCTCTCACAGTCCCACCCATGTAGTTCGAGCCCGAACTCTCCATCACACTTTTATCAAGATTGCATGTTGTCGAAAATGCCTTTTGAAGTGTCTCATGCTTGACAGCCATGGCAGTCCTTGCCACGTGTTTGGCTTGCAGAACAAAGCCGACGGGGCATGGCTTCAACACACGCTATTTGTCACAGAGGGCTTTGCAACGTTCGCGTTTCGTCTGTGGTTCGGTCCTGCTGTATGCAGCAGAATTCTCGCAGATCGTCCACGCCTGACAGGATGAGCCGCTCATGCTGCGGCGCAAGCGAAAGTACGAGAGCGAAGGCACGCATGGCATAGCTTCCGGGCCAGCAAAGGGTTCAATTGTGAGATCTGATCTTCGAATGTTGTATCAAACATTGGTGCATTACATATGCTATATACCTACCCAGTGTTGTGCATGTCTCATTGACATGACATGCTATCTCTATATGAATATACTGAATGCAATATACATGTATACAAAAAGTAGGGGTGTGAATATGCGCTTATACATCATATTACGTATTATTAGAGGTGAGGTGATATATTGTTTGTAGATGTTACATGACAAGCCGAGCCGTAGATCTTGTAATTTCTGTTCTATGTTTCGTATTCTTAGATACGATTCTGCCTCCTACACGTATTATTCATTGTGATTTTTGCAAGAATGCGATCAAAAGCAAACACTGCGCGCTTGCAGCTCTCGGACTCAGCCGCAAATGCGACAGAGACGCAGGCATGCGGCGCACGGTTCGGGCCGTGCTGCTTGTGCATGTGGCGCCCTTGGCTTTCGTGCAACATATGCTCAGTACAGATCCGGTGCGTGATGATGCTGTCTTAAGGTCAACTGTCACCCGCATGTCCTAGCTTTGCAGAGTCCATGCCTCTGAAGCGAATGCACGCAAAGAGATGAAAAGAGACACTTCGTAAGAAAGCTGCAGATGTTCATATGTTGCAACTTGGAGAGCGAAGGTGAGGGGGGATATGCCCTGCCTGGCGGCACACTACGCCCCGGTGAGTCAGAGAAGGATGGGCGCAGAGCTTAGCCGCCAAGTCCCATCAAGTACAGGTGCAAGAATGCATGGCATTTTTAACATAATCATGATTGTTCAGAGAGCAGTTCGTAGCTGTTTCGGTATCAGCAGCAAAACAGCTGTAGTAGTCGCCGGTGGTGTTTTCAGATGTCTTGGGCTTAATTTGAAGCCGAGGCTCAATCGCAAGATGCGGCGCTTCATCTTCAATGCGGACCCAAACATGGTGAGCACTTGACTAGCTGGCTCTTAGCAGGGAATGAGGGAATGAGGTACCCCATAAAGTCCCTTAAAGGGTAGGTGTAGGGCCCTAATTCCCTGATTCCCTGCTAAGAACCAGGAGGCTGGTGGATGAGCTTTGAGCACGATGGGCAAGAATTCACTGCAGCAAGGTTTGTGAGTGGAAGATTGGTGACTTACTTTCCGTTTGGCCATCCACCAAGTTCAGTGCTCCGGAGTCAGGCATCATGCAACTGTCGGCAATGGAGCCAAAGAAATGAGCGGTTCTGCAACCTTTTCCAAGGTGGTGTCCAAGCTTCGATGGCACGGCCTACCCATACCTGCCGGGTTCTGAGCAACATTGCCGCTTACTACATTGCCATCTCAACGGACATGCAAGCTTGTGAGTCAAGCAAGTTGTCAGCTACTGGTATGTGCGGCCTTGGAATTCGGGGGGATCGAGGCCTCCGCATGTAACCAGACCGAAAGAGTGCATCAAGGTCTATCAGGCAAGTGAGTCTCTCCGCACCTGAGCAAGCCAGTCTACGATTGCATGTGAATGTATTCTGTCAGGTGAATCTGCCGCAGAGATGTTTGTTTGCTGTGCCTCCGAAGGCAAAGCTTCTTCATCTTCGCAGTGGCAGCACAATGGATCAAAACAAATCAGCGTGAAGTAAAGTAACTAACTACGCATTCATCTGCTTGAGCAGGACAAGCTTGTTGCAATCCCGTTCTTCGACCTACACGAAGATCCCGCTGCCGAGAACTTAAATATTCAGATTAGGTGAAATGTCCTTGTTTCACCTTTGTGTTCGTTTTTCTCATGGTGGAACCTGCCTGCGTGCACAGATTAAGGGCTCTAGGGCTTAGGGCCGCTCAGTCCTGTGGGTGTCTACACGGCAGGCATATCCAGAGCTACGTGATATCCCTCAGCTGGTTTGCTCGGCGAATTTTAGGGCATCGACTTCTGGTTGTCTTGTTGCTCGTGCTTGCAAATCTCACAGTGATGGCATCAGCACATGCCCAGCCACACGTGGCTGAGAGCAGCTTGCCGCTGTGCCAGGTGAGTCGCTATGCGATTTCTCTGTACGAGCAGAACTGAGTCATGGCGCAGCCTGCTGGCGTCACCGCGCCTCCCAAGCCGCTTTGATGGCTGAAGAAGCTGCCACTTGCGTCACAGCGAAATTCAGAAACAGGATGAGAGAGGCCAAGGCGTGCTTATCGCCGTGCTGCTCTGACATGGCAACAATGCAGCGGGGCGGGAAAACAAGGCATTCACTGTTCGTGTCTGTCACTGAAGACGCAACTACTTGGAGGTTCATGGTACCTATTAACCAATTATAACTGTACTTATAACTGTACTTCTAACTATATTGGGGCACTTAAGGGGCTTACAAGTACAGTCATAATTGGTTAAGAAGTACCATGAACCTCGAAGTACACTACGATGAAGTGCAGCATTGGGTTGGGCCCACAGCTCTTGGAGAGCTCGCATACGCAAGGCTCAGCAATTGCGACGCAAGCTAGGCCCTGTAGCGCAAAGGTGTGGTTAGTCACAAATAACGGTACTTGTTGTGCACCACAGCGCTGCTCGAGAAGTTTTTCCCTCTCTTTGTCATGATATTAGGAAGAGAGACATAGGTACCGGCAAGGTCAGACGTTGCTGTGCCGGAATTTCGAAAGCACGTTCATGCGACACACTAATACATCGTTGTCAGGAAGATGTCGGGAATGTTGCGCTTGAATCCGCCCAGAGTCCAAGTTGGGCTTGTTTCTCGGTCATGGGAACCCTTCTTGATCAGGACTCTGCCTTCAGAAAAGAATTGAGCAATCGCTAGCATCCGCCTTGGCCGTCTGACCCACATGTGGCCCCAGCATGCCCCAGCCCAAGGGGACCACATAACAACATAAACATAAGGATCCTACTATTGGGGTATAAGCGCCCCTACAAGTGGGATTCCGAAAAGCCCTGTTTGTATGATCCTTGTGTTTATGTAAGTGCTCCGCCTCCCAATTCACAATTCCCCCACACACAGGAGGGTTCTGGTCAGTTCCAAAGTTATGTTCAAAGCAGCCAGAGGCTTCGGAGAATACAGCAGGGTAGATGAGCTTCGATGAGCAGTTCTGCGTCATTCTCGTGTCAGGAGCCAGGTTCAAAGAAACCAGAAGGAGCAGTTGGGCAAAACTGCAGGCTGTGCATGGAGCTGCGCTGGCTCTATAGCCATAGCCCCAGCGATCTGCTTGGCGCGGAGCGTGCGCCGAAACCGACTGGCACGGAATATCTGTGCAGCCGGGACGTGCAGAAGTCAGTTTCGAGGAGCTTCTTCTCTGGGAGCTGCGAGGCGTTCCTTGTCATCCGTGAAGCTGGGCCGACGACCAGTTCCGGACGAGACAGGTTTGCCACCGATGAGTGCAGATGGAGGTGGAGAAGATGAGTTCCAGGAATACTGGGAATGGTTTCAGAAGCCGCAGTCTTGGCCTGAGGGTTGGATTGAGAGGCGCACACACCCTCAAGTTGGAGTTCGACCATACTGGTACAACACCGGGACGCGGCAGACCGTCTTCGAGCCACCGGCATGCCTTGAGAACCAGAGTTCTGAGCCAATCCAGAGAAGAGAAGAACCGCTGGAGATAGAAGGTGCCGTAGCAGACCTTTCGGTCAAAGAGCTACGGCAGAAGCTGCAAGATCCCGAAGAGATCGAGCGTCTTGCGCTGACCGATGATGCACTTGCCTGTCGGGCAGTTTGGGAGTACGAGACATTTATCCCTCGTGTTCTTTCATGGCATGACTACCAGTATAACACCTTCTGGTTCTTTATCGACGATCGCGATGAGAAAGGCAAGCGCGGAGGGCGCGGCCAGGGTTTCTTCGGGGCCGAGGCAGACAAGAACAAGAAGATGTTTGCTCATCATGGTTTCTTCGAAGCGGTTGCAGAAGTTGCAAGCCAGCGACTTGAAAAGATCCATCCGATCAACCTTGTTTACCTGTTGTGGACGTTTACTCGAGCAGGAGTCCGCGCTCAACGATTCTTCAACCAAGCCGCAGACCATTTTTGCAACGGTCTGCTGCCATCACTGGATCGCTGCGGCTTGGGAACTCTGGTGTGGTGTTACGCAAAGCAAAGGTTTCGGCATCACAGGCTTTTTGATGAAGCTGCCAAAGAGCTGCAGCGCGCTGTTCGCGTAAGGTCCCTTGCGCCCAGAAATTTTCAAAACACGATGATCGCTTTCCGCTGGTACGGGATGGGCCGTGCCTCCCAGCGATCGCTCATCGACATGCTAGCGGCCTGGCTTCCTCGGATGCTCGACGACCACGATGAGCGGAGGCCGAAGTTGAGGCCGCGTGATTCAGTGATGCTGTCATCTCTCGCTGAGTATATTGCAAGTTCGGATGTGGAGCGGCCAGGCCTGATGTCATGTTCTCGTACACGTGCAAAGACGGTGCCGCACCCAACATGGGGTCAAGCATCACACGACATGATGGTGCATCAAGCAGAAGATTGCAGATGCGTGCTCTCAGATGCTGAGTTTACACGAGGCTCCGTAGTACCAGCCGATTCTTTCCGCATCAGTGGTCTGGTGCTTAAGTTGCCCTTTTCACTTTTCCCTTTCATGTCCACGGCTTCGGCAATGCAGGGCTCAGTCGTTGTTGCAAAAGGTCTGAATGTCATTGCTCGTGGCTTCGTGCACTTGGATGCCAGCAGCGAGCCCGTTGAGGCGCTGAAACCGTATTAAAAAACACGAGTAAACATAAGAATAGCAAAAAAGTATATTATTATAATTATGAAACAGGGTCCGGGGGCTTCAGTGGGTTTACGATGGTTCACGTGAGACTCTTTGAGGCATGCCTTGCCTCCATGACAGACTACGTGCTCCGGAGCGCACGGCGCTCTCCAGCTTGCACCTCAGCACGTTGCGCACCCACAATGTACTCTAGCGGCCGGACATCTCCGAACCAAATGTTGCGTATGTCGCCAGACGTGGATGCGGACCGACGGCGATGTCGCAGTCTTCACCACAGTTGTGGCTGAGGACTTCCACTTTTGATCTACAAAGCATAAGTCAATGAGTCCGGGGACGCCTTGAAAGTTCTTGTTACTAAGTTGCTCCCGCTTGAGCGAACAGCACGGAGGTTAAGGGCTAGCAGCCATGTCGGAAAGTGCTCAACGATCCAATTGTTCATGACAGGCCGTTGTCAAGGGCTGGCCCAGTGCACCAGGCTTGCTCTCAGAGCTGGAGGACCGGCTGGGAGAGCTGTGCAATGTCGTGCGACGCTAGTAATTCTTCACCGATGTGCTGCGCCGGGATTAGGGTTTAGGGTTTAGGGTTTAGGGCGAGAAAAGGCCGAGCTGCCGCTGGTACGACGGGGAGCAAGGCAGCGGGAGCTGGAGCCTTAGAAGTTGAGGCAGAATACCTGAGTCCGATGTATCACTACTATTTGCTTATACGAGCCCCAAAAGAATAAAAACAATGAAAAAACAGTATTCCCCATATCACCCTTAATAAGGAAGAATATTTTTTCGGGTTTCTTAAGCAACTAGTAGAACAGCTCCGAGGTTATCCCAGCTGGAAGATGCTTTAGAGCGGGCCCGGAGGCCTTTTTTTGCATGTCGGTGATTGATGTTGCAACGGTTGAAGGCCGATGCCCGTGTTTCCTCAAAGCACCCAAGAGACAGCTTCTGCCAGGACTTCGTGAACGACCCCATTCGTTTTCAGCCTGTTGCTACGCAAACAGAAGTTCGTATCAGCATCGGTCAGCCGTTGATGTTCGCACTCATACCAGCACAGCAGGGCCTGGTTCGCTTCGGCCCAAGAAAGCCTATGACTTCGAAAAAAGCCAGTGCAACAAATGGCCCTCAAGCTGCTAAGCCCAATGTGTTGTTAGCCGTGAAGCGATGCTGGTATCTCATGAGGAAGAGCTCTGACTGCACTCAAAGCCGCACAATAGATGCCAGCGCGCAAGTGGCCATGGGGCAAGGAGCTGCACATGTGCAGGCAAGCGAACATACAACATGACCAGCAGCTGCAAGAAGCTCAAGACACAAGTGTACGGTTCCAGACGTGAGTTCTGCGTCCAGACCGAGTTCTAGCCGTCTTGCCGTCTTGCCTTGCTTTCCCAAGACCTTCCCGGTGCTTTTCAGGCAGATGCCCCAACGGAGGACAGGCCACCGACTGGGTCAAGTTGCTCTGGGCAGACTCTGGGCACCTTCATCGCAGCACACTATAATTTGACGCGCCCTGCGTGTTTTTGTGCATGGCCTCGGACTGTGCTTGTGAATGCGCTGGCTGCCACACTGGTAGGGTTCTTACGGTATACACAAGGACTTATAAGTATTTTGAGAGGACAGTTCTGTCGGTGCTCCTGGCAGGTGCGGGTTTTCTGCGGAGGAGTACACGCGATTGAAGAAGACTCTTCACATCACAGACGGGTCTGCAACTTATTTAGGGACCGTAAACGCAGGTGACTCTCCGGGTCCCTGCTCAGACATGGACACACGGCCTCAGGCACAACGCAAGAGTGGAGCTCGCCGATTATGACGCATCCTTACAATACAAGTTCCAGTGATATCCATGGTGTTTTGGGATCGGGTCGACATTGCAGCGTCTTCAAGAAGGGAATGTCTGGCACCACCTGCGAGGTTGCGTGCTTCCCCAGCCATTTGCGCCTGAATACCTGGAGCAAGTTGTGGCACATGGTCAGTATTGCAGCTTCTGCTGAAAACTAGCAGCTGTAAATCTGTGCTGAACAAGACAAGGTCCATTTGTACAACCCCTCTTCTTCTACTTCAGCAAGGACTCCCTCGTCATACCTTACGCAGCCGTGCTTAAATGTGTTCTGTCTGCACCTTACTGCCACTTGTGCAGGAACGAGTGGGTGAAGGATCTGCTCCATGGAGCCTTGCCTTCAACCTACCAGCAGTGCTGAAGTAATAGTACGTCGGCCATCGTCGGCTCGGCCCATCCCTAGGGCCCTAGGTACTCAGGGACGGGGAGGAGATTGGGGCACCTTGCAGGGCGACTTGTGATATACTCGGCCACTGTGAAGGGAGAAGTGCTGCCGGCCCTAGGGGGCTTGCAGAAAGGGTGGGTAGGGCGGAGCCGGTGGGGCTTGGGACAGGTCCTGAGGCAGTTCTCAGGGAGGCCAGCGGAAGTCCCAAACCAGTCAAGCGCCCCAGAAGCTCGAGAGAGCAAAACGCAAAACAGGTTTTTTGCGTTGCGTTGCTTTGGGGAACCGGGCAGTTCTTTGGATCCCGCGATGTCCCGTGCGAAGGCTGAAAGACTGTGGCAGACTATTTGTTAATTTTCTGTGGTTCCTCTCACAACTTGCAAACGGCTTCCCTGCACTCAGGAAGCCGTTTGCAAGTGGTCTCTCGCAAGCTGCAAAAGCAACAGGCCTGTCCTGGTCGGGCCCTGAGGTTTCCGCGGTTCGAGCGCCTTCCAGGAACCCCTGAAACCCTAAACCCTAAACCCGGCGACTGTCGCATCCTGTGCCACAGGAGTCAGCTGCTTCAGGCCTGGGACTCACACTTGAGCTCGGGTTGTTCAAGTTGTTTCCCATGTATGAGAAAGTATCGCCAGGTCTGGCAAGAAACGCATCAAACGCAGGCCCCCTTTCGAACATCGTGCTGAATAGCCAAAGGCTCCAATGTAGTTCCTCTTTGGGTTAGCCTTTGGGGATTCTGGTCTACCACCCCAAAAAGGTACTACATAGGAGCCTTTGGGTAAAGAGTATCAAGATGAGAGCTTTCACGTCCGTGGCCGTCGTTGCGAGGAGCCCGCGGGGGTTGTGCCGGATTCCCCAGGCGACCTGGCAGAGCTTGTCCATGCGATGAAGAATGGATGAAGATGTGGCTCAAAGTTCATCATCCTGCTTTTTCTACATGTTTTTTTGTTGATGTATTTTCCATTATTTTCCCATACTATTAAATATACTCTACTGCAGGCCCTGCTGCCCAAGAGCTGGGAGCCATGGAGATCCATTGCATGAATCGGATGCGCATCCGTCATTTTGCGAATCTGTTTTGGAGTCGCATGTGAGGTTGGGCCTATTCTTAGAGCTGGCCCTGACTTTGCAAAGCTGCCATGAGTTTACAAAGGCCGCTCCGACGGCCTGTGGCTGGCAGGTTGTGATTGCGTGTTCTTAGGGTTTAGGGCTTAGGGCTTAGGGTTGAAGGCCGGGGGGTGTCGGGGATGGTGACGAACGGCACGTGAAGCTATGCAGTGTTGTGTTTGTGGGGATCATCTCAACTGGTCATGGCACAAGACAAGTCCTTAAACTCCCGCCTTGGCCATGGTTTCTGCAGTCTTGGTATGTCCGGGTTTCGCTTGACAACCCGGGTGCTGCCCACCCGCGGGCCTGCTGTAGCAACACCCCTAAACCCTAAACCCTTAGGCCCTAAACCCTAAACCCTAAACCCCGCACGATTGAAGACTTGCACTGAGCGAGCCAGGTGCTTTTGGTCATCCTTTGCAGAACGGTCGCCGGAGTCATGTGAGGAGGCCGATGCCCTGCTCGCGCCCCTCAAAGTCACGGGCGCAGGGACCTGTTGGGCCCAAGGGTTTAGGGTTTAGGGTTTAGGGTTTCGGGTTTAGGGTTTAGGATTTAGGGACGGTTTAGGGTTTAGGGTTTAGGGTCCTGGTGTCGTACCTAATTGTACACCGATGCTGCGATGCCTTTCCAACTGAGTGAGCTTCTGCCCGTTGACTAGGAAAGAAGTGTAGCTATACCTTGTTCGCAGCATTGCGCTCAATGAGGACATTGCGTATTTGACTTGCAACTGTCCATGGTTTCGGACTTGCAGGGACTTGCAGCGGCTGCAGTAGCAGCAGTGTTGCCAGTAACTACAACAAGATCGTTAGAAGCCGCTGTGTCTTGAAATAGTTTAACGGTGGTGGTGGGGGGGGGTGGAGGTGGGGGGGGGTGGAGGGGGTGGGGGGGGGGTTGGGGGGGTGGGGGGGGGGTGGGGGGGGGGGTGGGGGGGGGGGGGTGGGGGGGGGGGGGTGGGGGTGGAGTGGGGGGTGTGGGGGAGGGTGGGGGGGGGGGGTGGGGGAGGGGGGGGGTGGGGGCGGAGGTGGGGGCGGGGTGGGGGGGGGGGGGGGGGGGGGGTGGGGGGGGGGGGGGGGGGGGGGGTGGGGGGGGGGGGGGGGGGGTGGGGGGGGGGGGGGGGGGGGCGTTGGGGGGGGGGTGGGGGGGGTGGGGGGGGGGTGGGGGGGGTGGCGGGGGGGGGTGGGGGGTGGGGGGGTGGGGGGGGGTGGGGGGGGGGTGGGGGGGGTGGGGGGGGGGTGGGGGGGGTGGGGGGGGGGGTGGGGGGGGGGTGGCGGGGGGGGGGTGGGGGGGGGTGGGGGGGGGTGGGGGTTGCGGGGGTGGGGGGGGAGGGATGGGAGGGGGGGTGGGGGGGGGGTGGGGGGGGGTGGGGGGGGGGTGGGGGGGGGTGGGGTTTGCGGGGGTGGGGGGGGGGTGGGCGGGGGTGGGGGGGTGGGGGGGGGGGGGTTGACGGGGGGTGGGAGGGGTGGGGGTTTGCGGGGTGGGGGTGGGCTGGGGGGGGGGGGGTTGTGGGGGGGGGGGGGGGGGTTGGGGGGGGGGGGGTTGGGGGGGGGGGGGTTGGGGTTGGGGTTGGGGGGGGGGCATGGAGTTACCCATTTCAACCCAAAAAGTGCAAAATAAAATTGTGCTACCCAGACACCTACAGCCCGAGGCCTCAGCGGATTAGTAAGCACGGGTTCAAGTTTCAAGGCAGGCAGGCCATGCAGGGCTGTAACTTAGGAAAGTCTGGCAGAGCTGCGCAGAGTACCTGAGAGGCGGAGCCTCTCAATCCAGATGCGGTGGCTGGGGACTTGGACATCACTTCTCAGACAGGGACTCTGTTCAGGGCACATGGCCACAAGGAAGCACGGCCTGCTGAATAAGAACTTTCAAAGCGATAACCTGAAGATTGATCCTCAAAAATTCCCTTCAAAGCACCACTGTCGACCGTGCGTGAACACCCTACTTTACAGGTAGCTGCCGTTTCTGGTGGGGTGGAGCTGACGACGCTCGAGGGCTTGACCCGATGGCTTCAAGGCAGGGGGTCGCTCCTTTCAGTTTTAGGATTTAGAGTTTGGGGTTTTGGGTTTTGGGTTTTGGGTTTAGGGCAGAGCAAAGAAGGCTGTTAACCAGGCTTTCAGACATTTTTGAGTTTCTCTGCGCTGGCTGGTAGTGTTGTTCTTACTTTCATTGTTGTTCTTTCTCTTGTTCTAGTTCGGCTCCCTCGACGCCGTGGGAGGGTCGTCGAATTCTGGCCTGCGGCGATCCTTCGTGAGCCTTCAAAACATCGTTATCTGCGACGTCTCTTGGGTGTTTCTGCAACCAACCTGTGGGGGAAGGGGGGGGAATGACGTCCTTTTTGCCGAGGAAGGATTGCGAAATCTCTCTCTGTGCTACCAGAACCCAAACGTGCGTTGGTGCTTTCAAAGTTTCATGACAATGTTGACCTGCATTATTGTGATGTTATTTATTTTTGATCTTTGTTGTTTGCCCGAAGCAAGCGAAAATCGTTGTTTGCAACGAAAATGCTTTCAACTTTCCACGTCGTCGAGCGGCTTGCCTGGTTGTTCACTGTCCTCTTGTTGTTGCTGCGGCTCATGGTGCTGTTGATGTTGCTGGCCTTACAAGGCCTATGTCAATGTGGCGTTTGGTTTGCAGAATTAAAACCTGAAATACTCCTCCCCTGCACAGCGGGCTTTCAAATGCATGCTAACAAGCCAGTGCTCACTGCATGTCAAGAGCCCGACATCAACTTGAGGACGGCTTTATGTGAGTTTCCTCGGAGCTAAGCCAAGTGAATCGCCTTGCCCTTCTTCGGCCAGACAATCTTCCCATGCTGCCGAGAGCTGTTGGGGCGAATTTGTCGCGTGCTTTGATGGGGAGCGGAGCTGCTCAGCTGCAAAATTCCAAGCGTCCCAGACATGCAAAGGCCAAGTCCGCTGTCCACGATGTGATGCAAAGATATAAAGATGTACCGAGAATCAGGGTCATCCCTCTGCGCACACCTTGAGCACGAGGCTTTTCCGGCCATTCCGGCACTAGAGAGCCGCATCCTGTCTGCCCCTTGACCAGGTTTGGGGTTGAGGGTTATAATACTATTATAAGGGCCTACGGACAAGTTTAGAAGGCATCTGCCACTTGTCGTAGAGTTCACAGCATGCCTCAGCACAAGCCGCCTGCCGTCCTCCAGGCCAGCTTGCACCTGCTCCGCCCTGAGCAGCGCACGCCAACATGCCCAGACATGCATGGAATTGTTGCTGGGGAGTGCTTTTCATGCCTCTGAATGCTCCTACAATTGTTCAGAAACTCAGTAGTAGAGTAGATAACCTTTAATTTAACCTTTTTGGGGTAATAGAATCCCCTTAGAATCCCAAAGGTTAACCTTTAGTTCCCCTAGGTAATAAACACCATTCCTTTAAACACCTAAGGAAATTGTTCATTCGCCGGGTTCTCTTTTTATGGCATGGGCGACTAGGAAGACTAAGGTTGCTTCGGGGCTCTGATGCTCGCCTCTGGGAGCTTCGGGCTCAATGCGTTCACATGCTTTCACGTGCGTATGATGAACATGACGTCATACGAAATGCTATGATGAAATGTAATGATAGCATCACGTATTGTCACATGTGTGTAGATATGTACCATTTACGATTATGTTACAGTTCCTATATACCGAGAATATGCGCAGCATTGATTGGCAGAGGTCCGAAGAGTGGCTGCCATTGTACCGCGACTGGTGCGACGGCAAGTCCTTCAACGCCTTGGTGAAGGACAGCAAGAGTGGAAGCAGCAATGGTAAGCGCAATTTCATATCGCGTGCGCAAATGTCAGCAATGTTCTCTCACAATAACCCCGAAACCCTAACCCCCTAAACCCTAAGCCCTAAACCCGAAACCCATGCAGGGCGCAGCTTTCTACGAAGGCCCTGCCTTGGTATTGATCCGAACACGGGACTCTGTCCTGGGAGCCCTGTCCACGTGGGCCCGGCTCGATGGGTTTTAGGATGTTTTAGGGTTTAGGGTTTAGGGCTGAGTTTCGGAGTGCGTGGCAGGGCATTGGTCATGGTGCCCGAGCGGTCATTACGAATCCTTGGGAAAGCTTGGCAGGTCATGGGTAGAAGGCAACGGCAAGTTCGGCGGGTCCATGGAGTGTTTTTTGCCAGTGCCTCAAGGTTGAGTCACCAGGCCATAGGCCACGAAATCATGTTCCGTCATGGTTATGTCTTGATTGTCTTGTCTCTCGCCCAATGCCTTGACCAGGTTTGCACTGCAGCCTGCCTTCAGAGTGCTGAGCCCTCAGGGTGAGAGCAAGCCTTTTGGGGGTCTCTTGCATGTTGCGGCCAGGTGCAAGAGCTCTACCCGCACTGGCAACTACGTGTATTTCAACTTGCGCTGCGCTGAGATCCTGCCCAAGTGATGGGGCGACGCAGTCTGTCGCTGGACGGTCGCGAGCATGAGCAGATTTTGCTTCTGACGCTTTAAAAAAAAAACAAAACCTCAAGCCAGGCGGAACAAGCACTATCCTCGAGGGCTCGGCTTCGGCGGACGGCTGGGATTCTGCAGGTGCAAATGTCGCACAAGCTCACACAAGTAAGTGACAGCAAGTGATGCACACGCAGCTTTTGAGTTATCGGAAGGCTCTGGCTGGATGCGGACTTTGAAGACTGTTATGTTCTTGAGTCTGATGCGACTTATGCACCTGGAAGGCCATGCGCAATTTCTGTCGCTTTGTTCACTGGCTGTCTCTGGTCTTCACTGCATGTAGTCCTGAGAATTTCGAGTTTGCGAAGAGGCTGCTGGCCTCACAGGGCGGTCTTCAAACCCGGTTCGACGTCATCAGCGTAGAAGCGCGGCTCTGCATGGCTCTGCAGAAGCGGAAATTTTTGCAAGTATGCACAGTTCAACATTTTGCCAGGTATGGGGATGCGGAGGGCTGGAGGCTAGAAAGTTCGAGGGGAGCCATGAAGAGCTGTTTTGTGTCGAGCGCCGCAAAAAGGCGGCCAAAGCGCAAGCTGCACAGCGTGAGCGCTTGGAATCTGCCAGCTCCTCAAAGACTCCCCAGCCCTCTTCACACGTCCAAAAAGGCATTGTAGGTCCTTCACATCCTTCAGTTGGCTCAGGCAAGAGAGCAGGCGCGCAAGGCAGATGGGCACACATGGGCACCGAAGCCCCACAAGTCAGATTCATCGATACATGTTTCCCAGCGCAACCGGTGCAAGGTGGACAAATCCCGGCTTTGTGAGAGCGAGTTCGATAAGGAGATGCCGGGCACCCACGAACTGCTGCGGCACTATATGAAGCAGGGCTTATCTTACTGCTACTGGTGAGTGTATATGAGGTTCCTTTTTAAGTTTGGTGAGTGTACATATTGGGTGTCCTTTTTGGGGATACAAGAAAGATAAACCCTACTTCATATGCGACTTCAGGGGACAAGAGAATGACGGACATGCCTTGAGGCTTCTGGCCAACACATTCTCCGCAACCGCGGGCTCGCGGGAGCCCAACCCAAGAGAGGACTCATGCTTCTGGTCACTCTTTTTATGCACGAATAGGGGATAGCACTCGCATCATCTGCAGACAGGAGGAAGCCGGAAAGTCGCCTTGATGCTCTATCGGTTGTGCGAAGGTGGAACGCCAGCGCTCCTTCCCGGAACAAGGGAAGCCTCTGTCGAGTGAAGATCGCGGACCTGGCCAAGTAACCTGTAAAGTAACCTCCCGATCAGCTGGAGCCATCACACGGCGTGAAGTTCCCGTGTTTGGGGGTGCAGAGCACCCCACAACGTGAATGTCACGCTGAGAGCAGCGGGCCGGACTGCAGACAAGGAGCAGGCAAGGCGCACGCAGCGTCGGTTGAGAAAAATGCAGTGAGCTTTGCGCGACCTTTTCCCCTGCGGTGGCAAGTTCTGATTTGCTGAATGACTGTGATGTGAAAAAAACTGTTTTTTCCGGGATGTCTGACCTGGGCTGCAGGATGTTCAGGCTCAGGCTCCATCGGGTCAGGAGCTGCTCCAGCTTTAGATTTGGGGCTGGGCGGAAAGGTAGTGGCAATGTGTCGGCACCCCAGACAGCCTGGGTGAGTTGCGCGTGCCACAGAGTGTCGAGAGACTTGAAGTAGATACACGTAGTCGGAAGCTTACTACTAGTCATGCGCTAGTACATTATTAAGGGTTCTAAGCAGGCACGATTTTTCTTCACGATGCTTATGGGCTTGGATCGAACGGCTCACATGCCTTAGCTAAAAGGCTCTTCAAGTCATGCATCCTCTGCACCTGCAAGGTAGGCAGATATGGTGCCTCTCAGCGGTCTTCCTGCTGAGGCAATTGAGGGTGCCAGTCTAAAACAGCCTTCACAAAGATGCCGCATGCCCATGCTACCCACATCTTGCAGAAAAAGGTTAAGATACAATGACAGTGCACTGCATGTAGGGGCGTTGCGGGACAGATCTACACCTTCGACAAGGCTGCCCAACTTCGGATGAATGTTGCAACATGCGAGTGGACTCGCAATTTTCTTGCTGCAGAGGTGCCTTTGCCGGAGCCAAGATCACTGCACACGCTGTATGCATTCTATGCTGGGCCCTCAGACCGCTGGAAGCAGTTGCCATATGCAGTTTGGGTCTCAGCCTGTGACTGGGTATGACTGGGTGTTTCCCGCGCGCAGTCGCTGAGGTGTTCTCCCATCAGGATGCACCTGAGAGGACGTGTCTCCGGGCTTTAGGGTTTAGGGTTTAGGGGTCAGCCGAAGTGCATCCAAGTGGCCTTAGAGTGATCTGCTGCCGAGGACACTCGGCCAGCCAATGATGAGATTCCACAATCTCATGCTCGGCTCTCAGCGAGGAGCAAACATGCACACCCGAAAACCCTCCAGCCTCCTTGACAGCTTCATTTGCCCACGCAAGCTGACTAAGGTTCACAGCCACCAGTGGAGCTGACGCAGAGAAGGCAAGAGGCTACGCCGCCTGAACCTCAGACTTGACGAAGGACTTCACAAAACCAACGGAGTCCTGCCTTGGGTTTCCGCAACTGGAGGGTTTCCGAAAACAGGGGCACCTGATTGGGGTCCTTATTGGAAGGGAATCCTACTATTTGGGGATCTATATTGGGGGTCCCCTATTTTCGTAAGCCCCCGATCTGTGCTCAGGGTGTGCAGCTGAGCATCCTTCCATATCGCAGCTTCTGGAAGCTGATACAGCCGCCCCTTGGCCTCACGAGAAAGCCTGGCGAGATGCCAGCTTTGCAGCATGCTGCTCGGTATCGGTTCGGGATCGATGTATCGTGTTCTGCTATGGGATCAATGCGAAAGTACTGAGGCAGACTGAGGGCTATCATCTACCTAACTTGAATCAATGTGGTCACAAATATCTATCTCATCTACGCGAGCATTCGTCATCATGCGCACATGAGCAGGGACAAGTTCTGCTCCAACATGGAAGATGTCGTTCTCTCAGCTTGCCGAATGGTCTAGGACCGCAACTGCGCAACCCACACTGCACTGATGGGTCGCGGGTGAGGTTCAAGCCGGACGTGCCAAAGAAGCCAACAAGCTGTTCCCTTCGCATGTGTTATCATGTGCTTTGCATCCTTGTCATTCTATCCACAGCCTGATTCCACGACAGCTCTTCTCCTTTTACAGCTACTTGATGGTGCTTGCAAGGTTAACACAGAAGCCCATCGGAAGTTCTGATGACGACGTGAACCTGTGACCCATACTGCGGCCGAGTGACATGACAACCGTCCAGCATGCAGAGATCGGCTCGGGTTTAGGGTTTAGTGTTGAGGGTTGAGGGTTGAGGGCTCTCAGGTACTCCCATACAATTAACTTCGAGACGGCCACTGACCTGCCGGCCCCGCACTGAATCAGATCCACCAGTGCAGTACCAGAAAAGGTCTCCTCTGCGGTTGTGATTAGAAGTTCTTCTGGGGGTTTACGAAAGTCGGGGTACCCTTTTGGGGGTCCTTATTCCAAGGAATCCTCGCAATTATATGGGGGTCTATACCTCATGTTCGTAAACCCCCCTTATTGTCAGAGCTGCCGAGTTGAGAGTGAACTCCACTGGGGTTTACATCCTCGTTTTCTCGAACTGCGGCGACTTCAAAGATGGGGAGGCAGGGAACTGCCGGCGGAAAATGTTTTATGAAACATTAGTATGACAGTATGCTAACGTTTTATAAAACCTTGGTATGACAGTATCACCATGGTTCGCAGAGTCTGGCCGGCTGCGGAGCACGCATACTGGTGCAAGGTGAGCGGCAGTGTCATCGCCAAGAATTCATATGGGTTTCTACCTGGCAATGAGTGCCCGTTCTGGTAGCAGATTAGCTGCAGGCTACACCGCAGAGTTTCTTGCACCTCGAGGTACTACAAGATGCCATTCTACGGATGGCTTTCGATAGCGTGGAGCCCGTCCGCTATGCACGTGGCATGTTCCAGAAGAGTGGAAATGCGCAGTTGGAACAGTTTACTGCTTCCCCGTTGAGGGCTCTAACCTTCAGCAAACAGCGAAGACAGAGATACACACCAGATTTCCAGTGTAACTACTCGTGCGTGACTGCATAAAACATCCCCAGCCCTTGCAAAGCAGCCCCGTCACAGCAGGCGGCGCCATTGCTTTCAACTGAGGCCTACTGCGCACTGGCCAGCGTTTGGATGTGCCTGTCGCTACGGTACTGGCGAGAGCTGTTTCACATCCAGCCGGCGCCCCAGGAGCCCCACAAGCCACCACCCCA